TACACACACACACACACACACACACATGTAAATCTGTTTTAAAAACAATATGAACTCCTTGGAGGAAAGTTCGTATTTATGTTCGTTATGGGAGTATGAACAGCAACCACTGTGATTACATAAGAATATGCTCTTATGTTCCAGAATAATTTTCCAATTGCCATCGACTACTTTCAGAGGTGGCAATGTTATTGCCACCCAAAAGAGGTATTTCTCAAGTGGAGTAGGTGATGAGGAAAAGACGTGAATTAATCTTCATTTTTCTCTGGGGGAAATGCTATGTTATTACCCAGAGTCACTTACACTAGAAAATTTATCACTAGAAAAGTTGCCCCCAGTCCTTTCCACACCCCCACAGCCAGGCTCCAAGCAAAAATGATTAAAGGAGGCCTCTTATAATTAAGCTTGCTGAACAAGCCTAGATAGCCCCATAGTTCCCATATAATTTGAAGCAATTGGTTTCCAGGAGTGAGTCTAATAAATACCTCTCCGACTGACCCTTCTGCCGGGCTCAGGAAGTTGCTCAGTCAGAAATACAGACCATGTGGCCAGAGATCCAGAGATTTTCATCAACAGTCATGTGCACTGTGCAATTTATAAGGTCTCATGCCTTCTCTGGAAAAAACGAACAGAACTTAAAGAACCCATGGGGGCCATCTGCCAAGCCCAGTCAGAGACATACTCATGCAGGCACCGTGGCCAAAAGAGCTTCAGGTTTTCTCTATTCACCTGCCTGAACGGGCTGGGTTTCCAGAGCTCACAGCCGCAGCCCAGAAAAAAAGGCCAAGAGGCAGAGGCAAGGAAGTCCACTGATTTAGCAGAGCATGGACCTTGGAGCCAGACTGCCTGCATTTGAATCCTGACTCTGCTACTTTCCGGCTGTGTGACCTTGGCTAAATTAGTTAACCTCTCCATGCTGTAAGCTCCCCATCTGTGAATGATGATAATGCAAGGCTTACTTCATTAAACTGTTAGGGGAATTAAACAGCGTAAGTTTGAATCACGCTTATCACAATGTTAGGGCTTGAATGGAGAAGATGTGTCTCTCTGTTCCCAAAGGCAGAAGGAGGGGCATTCTTTATTTTACTTAATGGACAGATTAATCAGAACTCATCCACAATCATTTTTATAAAGATAATGATATTATGACATTTAGTTACAAGGGCTTTGCTAATCAGGCTTTCAGATAAAAGACCCCTATTCAAAGAATAGATAAGAATGTATGCAATCAGCACCAGCCAAAGCAATGATGGGGTCTATTCACCTCATAATGCTGTGTGTAAATAAGACCTTTAGTGAGCTAGAAAATATTCTGTTCCATGTACCACCTACATGGAAAATATTCTCATCTCAGTTCTTTTTTCTTGCCTATCTTTTTAGTCAACACTTTTCTTCATTTCTACTGGTAAGAACACATGTCTATCCAGTCCTCTGTAAATAGCAACTTTCTACTTTCCTTTGCTGGGTCCACGGCAGCTATTTCAAGTCACTCGGAACCAGGACTTGAAAGATTGGTCCCTTACACTTTCTCATTGGCAAACTATCAACTCCATTTCCAGGTTAAATTAGGTGGACTCCATTAGTTTATTTTAGTTCTTCATTTATTTATTTTCTGAAGCCTTTCTTTGCACATATGGCACCAAGTAAAGACAGAATGAAAAACAAAAACAGAAACAAAACAACATGGGCCCTCTTTCCAAAAAGTGACTTTATACTTTATAGGCAAAACATACAGAGGTTCAAGGTGTCATGTCAATAAACGACAGGATGAGTGAGAGAGGAAGAGAAGAAATGCTGACCAGAGAAGGTAGGCTCAGTGACAGCTAGAGTGGAATTCCCGGAGAGGGAGAGGCCAATGTGGACCTCGAGAGCAAGGCTCAAGCCATTGCTGAGCCAGAACAGCAGCGGGAAAGAGGTGAACAGCTTCTGTGCAACAAAATCCTTCTTTAGTTATAAATGTCTCTTTCTGATGGGGGAAAATTAGGTGCAATTCCATATAGAATTCCCTCTGTGTTATTTTTGAGCCTGTTTGTTTGCAAATGACTTGTCCTTCACTTTTTCAGGCAGTTTCACAAGCATTTTAAGAGATTCCTCTAATGCAGTTCCTCTAGCTTTCAGTTCCCACAGGGGTTTGAAAACCAGAAAGATGAAAATGCATTGCCCTCAGAAGTGAGAGAATTGGGGTGGGTGTGGGGAGCTAGCAGGCACCTGTAAGTCCAAAGGCTGATAAGAAGCAGTGCGATTTCAGGAGTAAAGGGGAGACACCTTTCAGAGTTGCAGGGAGCCTGTTGGCCCCTAAAAGGTCATGGTTCCAATGATTCTGAATGATGTGGACATGAGATATTGAAACTCTTACTTGAGCTAGTTCTTATAGTACTGCTTATACCAGCAAAAGTCTAGAAACAACCTTTACCGTGGGCAGATTTCAGGTCAAGCAGGGTAGAGTCATATCTTTTGGCAAACATTAGGTTGTAAATTCAAAAGCAACTGATAGGTAAAGTCAAAATTACACCAAAATGCTTCTTACTTTGCTCCTACTTTGCCAGGATCTAGGCCTTTGGAAACTCAAAAACCAAAAAGAGCTTGTATTATTTCCTTTCTTTTCAATTGTGGCCACTGGTTCCCATGGAGGGACGACACCTCTAGTTTAAACAGGGGGATGGGCACAGGTGGTAAAGAAAAGGAAGAATATTACTTTCTTTGCTTCCTTCTTTCTTTTGCTGTTCCTCTGTTGTTCTCCCCTGTGTGTGACACAGCAAGAAGGCAACCCTCTGCAATATCCTGAACCATCCTCTGAAATATCTTGCAATATCCTCTCAAATATCCTGGTCTTCACCAGGAACTGAATCTGCCAGCCCCTTGACCTTGGACTTCCTGGCCTCAAGAACCATGAGAAATAAATGTGTTGTTTAAGCTACCAACTCTATGGTGTTGTGTTACAGCAGGCCAAGCTAAGGAGATATATATATATATATACACACACACATATATATAAGATATATATATATGTATGTTTGGTAACTCACAGAATATTTATGGAAGGAGAAATAAGAAACTAAGAATGCTGGTTGTGCCCCATACAATGAGGAGATCAAGGAGATGTGAAGTCAGGAATGGAAGGAAGACCTACTTTTAGGCTAATAAGATCTACTTATTTACACTGAAAACCCTTATTTTAACATGTAACATATGTGTGTATAATGCTTTTAGTAACAAAAGCCAGTATTAAAATGTTTTTAAGTGTCTACTTCACAAGCCCCATCGAAATATAACAAAACGGCAGTTACGAAGCCCTTGCTGTTCACTAATCTCAATGATCTCTTTGGAGCTCATTGAGTAATTGGTGGTACAGCTTTAACATTCCCTTGAAATGCTGACTGTTCCAGTATCACATCCTGCCCTACGGGGATGTGGGCATATCTTGAAAAGGACAGACCTCACGTGAGAGATCTGGGTGAGAAAAAGATTCCAATGCTCATTTACTAGGTGATCCCTTAACGGGCTACAAGATAAAATGAGACTTACCAGTAGAACCTGTTTGGTACGACCCCTTCCTGGATAAGCTGCCACCTTCTCCCAAATTCAGCAGAGCTGTATAACTGTAGAGAAGAGAAATTATTTAGCACCTTGACCCCAGGGTACATTAAATATACACATATTAGTTCACTGGCTCAGTATTAATAACAATCACAACAACAGTAGTAGTACCTACCGTTTACTGAGCACCTGCCATATGCCAGGTGAATGATCCACATATCATCTCTCCTCCTCATATGCATTCTGCAAGGTGGACCTTAATATCTCCACCTTACAACTGAGAAAGCTGAAGTTCAGGAAGATTATGTGATTTGTTGGAAATCACATGCCCTCCAAACATGAGAAAGAGCTGGGATTCATACCCCGTTCTACCTGGTGAGAGTCAGCAGTGCCATTTGACCTAGCCTGTGCAGGTCACTGTGTGGAATACAGAGAAGTGCAAAATCTGAGATCTGGCTCTTGAAGAGCAGATAGTATAACCTGACTAAAATCACGAGAAATGCACTAAGGCAATGAGGCCACCAGTGACCGAGGAATGCCAAGGAAGGAGACTCAGAAGTCAGTTAGGGATGCTTCACAGATGTGTGCAGATTCCGCTGAGGTCCAAATGAATGGCAGCGTTCAAACTGACAGAAATGGGACAGGCGTGACACGAGGAGCAACGTGGGTCAGAGTGGTGGGGTACACAGGGACAGTATACAAATAAGCCTGGCTTATCTAAATAAGTGTAGATGTGAATGTTGAGGGCAGCTTGGAAGACGGCTTTGAATGGCAAGTTCGGGAGACTGGAACTGACCCTGTGGCTGGTCTTTTCGACAACAGCCAGAGAAGTTTCAGGCTATTCGGGCAGCCCACACGGACTACACTTTCACTGTGATCCAAGTGCTTCCCATGCATTATTTCATTTAATCCACATGCCATCGCTGTGATGGTACCTGAAGTTATTTTACAGATGGCTCTACAGCTGGAAAGAGTTCAAGTCCACATGCTACACTGCTTCAGTACTCTCCGAGGGCAACTGCAAAGAAGCAGTGCTCATGAGACAGGGTCTAACGCTCCACATGCTCCCTCCTCTCCAAACATGATTCTTCTCTTACTTCCTGCTTTGTATCTCGGCTCACTCCACACCTCTGCTCTTCTCCAATAATCTTTACAGCTCCATGGAAGTGTCCTCTGATGGCAGCCTGGAGATCCCTGTTGCTCCAGGCATTCTGGTTCCCATGGACTACTGGCTACTGATTTGATAAATATCATTTGGAGTATTTCCTTTCTACTATGTGCCTGGTCTGTAACCTACTGACACTCCAATCTTCCACCACTGCATTCGCCAAATCCCACAGTGAATGGATAATGAGCCATACCATCCTGAGTACCATGATTGCCCAGCCTTGTCCTGTCTCCAGCTCCAGCATTCAGTGAAGGGTCAAATGACTCACCAAGTGATTCACCCCGGTTGCAGATGCACTGGGCAAGTCCAGGAACAGGTCAGCTCAAGTGACTATTTACCAACCCTTGGAAGAGCTTCCTACGATATTGTGTCCATTGGATCAAAACACATTCTAGAGCCCCCCAAAAAAGAAGCTGAAATATGTGATTACTAAGCAGGCAGCTCAATTGGCTCAAACTACACAGTATCTGGGCATCCAGTCAAGGAGAATCTGTGGCTTTTTCTTTCAAGTCTTACTATTTTTTTTCCGCCCCATTATGCCTGGGTACATTTTATGCTTGATTCCTCTTAAGAGTGCTAAGGGGAGATGGGGAGGCAGTTGCCCTCACAGAAATAACAGAGGATGGGGACAACGCGTTCCCTCTTAATTCCAAACCCAAGTGGCCAGAGTATGCACGTCCTACTTCTGGTTCACCAGCATGTCCCAAACACTTGGCATCTGAATACACAGACTTGTAGAATAACAACAAGCACCTGGGTTTGGGAGGATCTGCTTCTCCCGCTCCCCTTGCTCTATCTTTTTTAAGCCCACAGCTGCACTTCTTCCCATGAGTTTAAAGAGAATTGAATGGAAAGTCATCAGAGAGGGCGAAAAACCATGAGAGACTCTTAACCATAGGAAAGGAACTGAGGGTTGCTGGAGGGGAGGTAAGTGGGGGGATGGGGTAACTGGGTGATGGGCATTAAGAAGAGCACGTGATGTGATGAGCACTGGGTGTTATACACAACGATGAATTACTGAACTCTACATCTGAAACGAATAATGTACTGTATGTTGGCTAATTGAATTTAAATAAAAAAAGAAAAAAATGAAGAGAATAGAGTTCACACCGTTGTGTGTACCTGTGTCTATATATAAATGTATGTTAACATCTATATTTATATACAAAGACTTATGCAAATGTAACAGAATCAGGATGGCTTGAAATAATAACAATTCTGCACATGAGGCTGGACTCACGTAGATCTTGAAAATCAAATATTAACTCTGAGGGCTCATACGGTGACACCAAGGATTGCCATCCCTGCCCCCACACAGAATTTATCTTTGTGAGGAATTACTGGGTGCCAGCATGTATGTGTATGTGTGTGTGTGTGTCTTTTTTAATTGATCCCCCTAGGCTTGGATGCAGAATCTGTGGACCAGTCAGGTATGTCCCATGATATTTGTTTTTATCCTCTTCAAGGGGCTGCTTTGTTATCTGTGAGCATCCAGAGGCCCCTCAAGCAGTAGGGATACCAGACAATCCAATAAACCAAGGCTCTCTTATTCAGCTCAGTGACATTCTTTTCCATTTTCTCTCTCGAAAAGAACACTTTGGTGCTGACGGATGCACCTTCTCACTTTCTCACTCACATCTGAGCAGGCTTCCTTTGGTGTGTCTTCACTGATGCTCCCCATTCTGGGTGAGGTGACTTTAAGACTTGCCTACCTCACTGCCAGTCTTCTTTTTAGGCCCAGACCAAAATATGCCTTTTCTATGAACCTTCTCCTACACACTAAACTTCCCTGTGGCCTCATTTCCATGGTTCAACAGATCGTATCAAGCTACAGGCCACATATTTATATTTAATTTTCTTAGGAACCTTCCAAGAGAGCCATCTATGAATGCAAGGCAGAAATTCCTTCCTTTCTAAAGTCACTCTAAAATATCTGAGACCACTCCCTGCCCCTTCAATGAAACCACAAAGTTTACAGGTGTCGGGAATCCTTTCCTTCTAGAAAATGTCTAGCACATAGTAGATTGGCAAGGGGGAAAGAAGTGTCAATTTCGCACCCTGCAAATTCCCTAGTGATGAATCTATCTAGTAAAGTACCCAGGTTTTCCAGTGGGTGGACAAAGAATATATTTTATTTCCATGGAGCCATAGTAGAGGCCTATACCTAAAAAACAAACAAATGAACAAACCAGAACTATAAATATCAGTATATTTGAAGCTTCCAAAGATTTGGAAGCAGGGTCTTGCATATTTACCCTTAGCCAAAGCTGCTCTGTATACTCCACCTACTATTTCAAATATTTTCCCCCTATTGTCCAGCCTGGTGTCATACCTAAAGGAGACAACAACAGCTCACAGCCACTCAGGTTAATGTGTTAATTAAACCTGCAGAGTCTAACAGCCAAGTTCTCTTCTACAAAGAAGAGAAAAGGATCAAAGCCTCTTACCAAATGACACTGTCTCAGCTGCCAGTAGAAGGTTTTTCCTGCTTTTAATAAAATTCATAGTGTTGGCAGCACCTAAATAAGATTTATTTCCTTATCAGTCTGTCTCTGGCTCTAAGGTTTCTTTTGACTGTCAGAACACAGAACTATCAGTACTATCTGTCACATCAGAGAAAGCAGAGCACCTTTCTCCAGCAATGCTGAAGAAAGAGAGAGAGTGAGTGAGTGAGTGAGAAAGAGAGAGAGAGAGAGGTATCAGGGAAAGGAAGACAGAATATATGAATTAGCTTTAGGAGGGCAACATTCATCTGCTAACCTCTGTCATAAACCCCAAAACACCATTCTTGGAGGGGTTTTGGTTTTGTTTTGGTTGTGCTAACTCTGGTACAAAGTACTGGGGAAATTTTTTGCAGGAGTAGAAATTTTAGAAAGAGAACAGGGAAAAGATTCTGGTTGACTAAGAATGCAAGTAGGAAAGTCCTTCCTGTCTCAAATCATCCTAAACTATCCAAGACCGCTTCCTGCCTCAGTAAAAAGAACTTAATGAGCACAAACCCAGTGCTCGTCTGTGCTCAAGATCTACTGTCAGCCTCAGGGCCTGACCCTCCACTCTGTCATTATGCTGGTCCAGGGCTGTCAATACTTCCCCTCCTGCCATGCTCCTCTCCTGATGGTCGCTCTCCTCCTCCTCCTCCCTCCCTCCTTCCTTCCCTCTTTCTTTCTTTACTTATGTTTTTTTTTTTTTTCTCTTTTAGACATCCCTCACATTGGCTTGTTTTCTTGCCATCTGCCTTTGTCTGCTGTAAGAAGAGTACAGATAAAAATATAGTTAATTGCAAAGGATGCAATGGTGAGGGTTAGTTTTGTGAGGAGCTTTTAACCAGTTGCTCAGCCATCTCTGGCACCATCCTCAGGAGGCTGCAGAGCTGCAAGCTGGATTAGGGGCACAGGCTTGGAGGGAGGATAAGAAGGGATGCCAGGGGCAGACAAATAGCTGGGGGGGAGGGGGACTGGGAAACAGTGAGATTCCCTGGCATAGCTCAGCATTCCTGATCTAGAGCAGACTAAAATGGGGTGAGAGAAGGGGGGTATGAGAGCAGCTGTGGCCAACGTTCATTTTCCATCTTCTTAGCACCCACGTGGTGGTTGAAGCCCCAGCAGAGTAGCATCTTTCTTTGGAGAGAAATTCAACTTCCTTGTGCTGATGCAAAAGTGTGCACTCATCACTGTCCCTGGAGAGTCTTCTCAATATTTCTAAACCAGATCGACGTAGCCCCTCTTTTCAAGTCAGACAGGTACACATTAGGGATTTTCTTCTGTGGCTAGGAAACTGGTACAAGAACACAATTTGGTAAAAGGGAGGAGTGATAACATGTTTTAAATCTTTGGTTGATGGGACTGAATGCTTTCCCCACAAAGCTCCTCATGGAGACTTTCCCGGTCAGGAGGT